GATGATATGGAACTCTTAAAAATTTAAATATAGGGTAACTTACCTGAAATGAGGATACTCGAATAGGTCGTTTCAAGAACAATAATAAATGACTTGAACTTCAACCTGCATAGTTTGGCACTGTCTAGGTTGGTTTCTCTATTATTTTCTCTTTGTTGTGAACAAATAATGTATATACTCAACAAAAATTGTTAAAAAAAATCATTTTATTTCTTGGTGTTGATAATAGTTGCTTAAGAACATGGAATGAAAGCACCACCATCTAGCTAGCCAAAGAACTAGCAAAAAGAGAGAGATGCAACATGATATATTGAGAAACATATTTAGAAACATTTAATATATCGGATATTATCCTTATTTTTTTAATAAAAAAAAATAAGCATTAACTATGTAAAATTAACACTCTTTTTTTATTATTAAAAAAAATATAAATATCGGTCCTTTAAGGGCTGACATGGCAAAAACTACCCAAACAGATAAAATGTTTCCAAAATGCCTTATTTTGGGTTTTTTTTTCTACCCTATTTTGGCTAAAAACCCCTAATTTGTCCAATACAAATAGAAATCAAATTTTATCTAAATGACTTATGGTATTTACACATAATAAAATTCGTACTAAGTAATATGTTGTAGATTCCAAAATATTTATCTTTATAAGACCACTTTAATAAGTGTTTCTGTTAAGGGTACAATGGTCTTAAGTGATCTCTTCTTCTATCCTAGCCTATGACGTCTTCACAGATATTCCAGATTCTTCTTATGTGGTGCGGGGAGGGTACATGCAAAAGACACTTCGATGATAAAGTTAAATGTTGATTTAGGTAATAAATGCTCTTTTCTATTCAAAGTCAACCCTTTTACTTGTACCTCTTCCTTTTTTTTATAAGTAATATATTGGGCTAATGAACTTTATGATTGAGGCCTGATTTTAGCCTTCTGATTAAACAGATAATTAATGATTATCTATTTTAGTCTTTTTAATCATTCTTCGTTATTTATTTTAATCTAACTGGAGGGGTGTTCGTCCTTTAGGCTGAAGGGGTATTCAAATTCCTTTTTCTGCCATTATAGTCGAATAGTGTCTTATCCAGTGCACTAGCCCTCCAAGCCTGAGGCAGTAAGGTCGAAGGGTTGTATTAATTTTGACCCATATTCGACCTTGGGAGAGTTTGGTTAATGTTTTTGGATTTAATCTGATGGGACTAGCTCTTGTCCACCCTAAGAGTAGATTCGTCATTACTAAGTGTTAGAGTGTCAGAGAAATTAAGGTTTCCTTGGGATTGTTAATAAAAAATGAAAGGTCATTCGTTCGTAATCGTTTGATCTAAAGAATCTAACAGTTGCGAAGAGGAGTGACCCTTCGTCTTCCCGAAGCATTATGGTCTATAAAAAAAAAAAAAAAGGTGGTCCAACCACTATTCTCACTTTTGCTCTACACCGAAGGGTATACTACTTTCTACTCGAATATTTGCTATTCGTATAATTTGAGGTACGTCTCGCTTTAGCTTGTCTCTCTTTAGTAGTTTCTCTTTAGTTTGATATGGTGGATGCTATTGAATGGGACGATTTGTTGTCAGAGGATTCGGCACCGAGTATTGCTTCGAAATAAAAGAGTCTATGACCACAGTTATGTCCGAAGAGGCACAAGAAGATCAAATGGTTCCTAATGTTATTGGGTCTGTAGAACTGAGTAGTATAGTAAGGGAGTCAGGTGATCAGGCAAAAATGCCTATTACCGAAGAAGTGTTGGATTTTGAGTTTGAAGAGTCACTTCCTAACGCGAGTGCAGTTCGAGAAAGACCGAAGTTTTCACCATGTACTATTCCAGGCTATGAATGGGTGGACAAAGAGGTGGTTGCCTATTTTTCTTGCTTTCAACAGAAAAGACGTCTTCGAAACTTTGTAGACATGTACAAAGTGGCTTTGTGGGATGAGCTAGACCCTTATCTGATACGTGTGAAGATATGCCAAGGAGATGAGTCAGCAAGTCCAGATCTTGTATGTTTAAGTGAAGATGTCGGCGTATGAGTGTATGTTCTGAGAACTGGAGTAGTGCTTCCATTTGACGATTTTCAAATGGGAGTGCTACGGGTGCTAAACGTGGCACCGACCTAGTTACACTTGAATGGGTGGGCGGTTATGCAAACCTTCTGGATTCTTTGTAAATATCATTATATAAAGTCTAGCGTAGGTCTTTTTCTTCATTTCTTTTATACCCGGCCTTCGGATAAGGCAAGGTGGGTTTCTTTAATAAGGCAAGCCTTGTTGCCATTGTTGAAGCTGTACACATCTTCGTTTAAGGGATTCAAAATCGGCTTCTTTAAGGTAGCGGTCGACCCCATTGTCGAGAAGAAATTCTTTTATGACAATGAAGGTAAGGAGCTCTTTCCTTTTTACTGGACCCGGGTACCTCATCGATATGACATGTATTTGGAAGAAATGCTATCGTCGGAGGAGCTTTCTACCCTGGAATATTTGAAGTCCTTCCCCCAGAAGCTTCTTGCCCGAACTTTGATACTTTTGTCGAAGTCCCCCAAGCCTCGCTTGGATTTGGAGGGTATGCTTTGTTCTTTTCTTTTTTAATTTGAGAACCGGATTATGTTGATTTGACTTCTTGTTTCCTTGTAGGCATAATGACACAAAGAAGACTTGGTGTTGGTTATCACCAAGCTTTGAGAGAATGAGCATCTAAAGGCACCTCAGTTGAGGAACATCGGCGTCCTCTATTGGACATAGTTCCTGAACTTAATGAAGGTCGCCCTCCTCCCGAAGACATCCCCCTACCCGAAGGCCATCAGAAAAAAAAAAAAAAAGAAAAAGGATAAGGGTAAAGGAAAAGAAGCTGAGAAGGAATGCCATAAAAAAATATCGTGGTGAATTCTCTCGACGTGTTTCCTCTGAGTCACCAAGCCACTCGGTCCAATCTATTTTTCATCTTGTGGTGACACGCAACAATTTTTTGCCGAGGGAGTTAGAGCTTCAAAGTTGGTGTCCCATGACCTTCTTTCTGAATCAGGAAAGGCAACCATCAACCAGCAAAATAACATGGTTCGATGGGAGTGGTATTGTGAGCTCCAAACCCGAGCCATGGTAATGGCTCGTAGCTTAGCTCTAGAACCTCTTCTTCAATTGGAAAAGGTTCAGGGTCAATTTGTCGAATCCTAGAAAGCTTTGGAAGAGGTTGAAGGTATTCAGTCCAATTTGGCCGACACCAATAAGGCTCTTAAGGCCATGTTAATGCAGATGCAAGAACACTTCAAAAGTGTGGAGGAAAGAATGCATGTTGTCGAAGACAAGGCTATGGTTGCTTGGGAGGCTAAACAGTCTAAGGGTCTGGAGCTAAGGGATGCTTTGGCAAGGAAATGACGAACCAAAGAAAAAGCGGAGGCTGAGATGAAGTCATTTATGGCAGAGTGTAACAACAAAATTATTGCTGAACATGAAGCTGGCTTTTAACACCCCGTCCAACAAGCTATAGAATTTTCTGAAGTGTCGTCTGGCTTCACTTTAATACAATGAAGGGCTTTTTTAATAGAAAGTTCCTAAGTTACAATGAGGTTCCCGACGACGTTGAAGCCGACACATATGCTCCTCTTCAAGCTCAGCCAAATCGAATCGAGAGGGTCTTTGCTAAAGACGAAGATGGTCATCATCAAGTTGAAATTGCCACTCCTAATGAAGATTAACTAGGGTTTTTAAGCGAATCGGGGGAGGGGTCTTCTTTTGTAACTTCTTGGGCCATTAGTGCCCCATTTTTGTAATATTTGCCGAATATATGACAAGTATTATTCTCTTTTTCAACTTTATTGCATGATTATTTAGAGTATATTCGGGGCATTGTTACTTTTACCTTTAAATATTTTTTAACCTTAACTACGGACATTTAACCGAGTAGGTGTATCGGTGAGGGAGTTAAATGTTCTTCAACCTTAATCGAATAAGTATAATCGGGAGTGAATTAAATGATTTCAAATTTAACCGAGTAGGCGTACTCGCGAAGGAATTAAATGATTTCAACCTTAACCGAGTAAGTGTACTTGCGATGAATTGTGATTCAACCTTAGCCGGGTAGTGGTACTCGGAAGGGAATGTGATTCAACCTTAGCCGAGTAAGGGTACTCAGGAGGGAATGTGATTTAAAAGTAGATAAGAAACTCATGTAAGAATTTATAAAGTAGCTTTTATCGATAAATGTCTCATTAAAAACCTTCTCGGGAAAACCTCTTTTCATGTTCTTTTAAGAGGGCAAACCCGAGCGAGGAAAAGAGTGCACACAATTTCTACATTACATTTGTTAACTAAAATAATGCTTCAGATGTGACACATTTCAGATTCTGGGTATAATATTGTCGTCAAAGGTTTCAAGCTTGTAAAAGTCATTGTCCAAATTAGTGGTAATCCGAAACGGTCCATTCCAATTGGCGGCGAGTTTTCCTTGTCATCAGTCTCAATGTGCTTTCCTAGTGGCTCTCCATACTAAGTCCCCGACTTGAAATTGCCTTTGTTTAAGCTTTGAATTAAACTTCCTTGTCATTACTCTTTTACTGGCTTCAGTTATGATTGCTGCCCGGTCACGTATTTCGTCTAATATGTCCAAATTAACAAATAAGGATTCAGTATTAAAGTGTTCGTCAAAGTATTGCCTTCGAAAAGACGGTTCACCAATTTTGACCAGGATCATGGCGTCGGTACCATAGGTTAACCGAAAGAGTGTTTCTTTTGTAGCTGTGTGAGGCGTGCATCGATATGCCTAAAGACCTTCAAGAAGTTTATCAGCGCACCCTTTGCCGAACCCAATCGTCTTCAACATTGGGGTTGAAACCCCTCTCTTGTACAATTCATTGCCGAGAAAGGTATATTTAGCCGCCTGTGTTCTTATCCTTTTAGCCTGAGTTGGGTTTTCAGGGAGTCTACTGTTGATGAGATACTGGATGATTATGGTCATCCGATTTTGAGGCGTGTCTCCCACTTCCATGCATTCTTGTCCCAAAATGTTGGGCCTATGAATTTCTTGCTGAATAATGCTTTGGAGCTATCCGGGCTTCCACATCTGCAGTTGACACAAAATTACAAGAATCAAAAGTGGAGGGATGCTTAAGTGAATTAAAAACTTTAAATACTACTTCCTCTTCGTTCAATCTTAATGTAAGCTTCCCCTGCTGAACATCTATTATCATTCTTCCTGTAGCTAGGAAAGGCCTTCCTAGTATGATGGGTACTTCGTCATCCTTTTCTATGTCAAGGACAATGAAATCTGCAGAGAATATGAACTTATCCACCTTGACCAGGACATCCTCCACTATGCCCCTAGGATACGTTATCGAGCGATCAGCAAGCTGCAGAGAAATTGAAGTTGGCCTGGGTTCCTGCATACCCAACCTTCTAAACACAGAAAATGGCATTAGATTAATACTAACGCCTAGATCACATAGCGCTTTATCAAAATAACAATTGCCTATTATGCATGAAATCGTAAAACTCCCTGGATCCTTAAGCTTAGGTGGCAGCTTTCTCAACAATATTGCTGGGCACTCCTCATTCAATCTGACTATCTCGAATTCTTCCAATTTCTTTTTGTTGCTTAGCATCTCCTTAAGGAATTTAGCATATTTAGGCATCTGTGAGATGGCTTCAACAAAAAGGATATTGATGTGGAGTTTTCTGAGAATCCCAAGAAATTTATTAAACTAAGGGTCTCTCTGGGTAGCCATCAACCGTTGTGGAAATGGAACTTTCGGCCTTGACATCACTAATGCATCTTCCTTTGCTTCTTTTTTCGTATCTGGTTGGCAAGCACGACCTTGCTCATCATTCAACACGGCCGTGTTTTCTGTAAGCACGGCCTTGCTTGGGTTAAGCACGAGCGTGCATTCATTGTCAGCATGGGCGTGTTGTTCAAAGCACGGCCGTTCTTGTTGAGCCAACATGGGCGTGCAGGGTGATGCAAGGACATGCTGATCAATAAGCACAGGCATGCATGGCTTATGTGGTTGCGTTTCACTCAAGTTTTTTTCACTTCTTAAACTAATTGCTTTAGCTTGTTCCCTAGGATTCGGTTCTGGTTGGGATGGCAATGTTCCTAGTGCTTTTTAACTGAGGAGACTTGTGATTTGCTCCAACTGGGATTCAAGCTTTGAGGACTGAGTCCTCATCTCAACTTTGATTTCTGCAAACCTCTTATCTTCCCTCTCAATCTGTTGTTCCATCTGTGCCTCCAGTTTTTCTATTCTCTTGTCAGAGCTATGCACATATTGCATCATCTGTTCTTGAAAATTGGATTGGAATCAAGGAGCTTCTCTTCTTTCTAGCTTCTCCCCTTGATTTTGCACATAAGGGGGTCGATAGGGCGCATTCTGATTTCCTTGGCGGCTTCCCCAAGGATTTGTATTATTATTGCGCCATCCTGAATTATAATTATTACCCATAAAGTTCGCCTCCTCCTGATCAAACTCTGTATTATGTGCCGACTTTGTGGGTTGATCTTGTGCTCTCATTAAGCACTCCAGTTGCTTTGTGAGAGCTGCCATTTGGGTTACCAGTGGGTTGTTGCTTTCTGCTTGATAGACTGGTGCAACTTCCTTTCTCTTGAAGTTGTAAGTGTCAGTTATGTGCCACTGAAAGCTAGCAGATGCCATTTTGTCTATCAATCTGTATGCGTCATCTGGGTCTTTCCTTATAAGAGATCCTCCTACGGCGGCATCAATTGTGGCCCTATTATGAATGGATAGGCCACTGTAAAAGATCTGTACTTGCCTCCAAGTTGGAAAGTCATGGTGCGGGCATCTTCTCAATAATTCGCCGAATCGCTCCCACGTCTCGAACAATGATTCTATCTCATTCTGCTGGAAGCAATATATTTCTGTCATCAACTTGGACGATCTTAATGGAGGAAAGTACTTTCCTAAGAACTGTTGAGTGAGATCCTCTCACGTTGTGATGGAATTGGCTGGGAGTGAAGAAAACCATGCATTCACTCTTTCGGACACTAAAAATGGAAACAGGCGGAGTCGAATTGCATCGTTGGAGACTCCATTGTATTTTATGGTGTCTGTCAATCGGAGGAACTTTGTTAGATGCAGATTAGGGTCTTTGTTAGGCAAGTCCCCAAATTGTATGGAGTTCTGAACCATGGTGATGAGTGCTGGTTTCAACTCAAAATTATTTGCCTCCACATTAGGTGCCGCGATACTTTCAGGAGTGCCTCTGGCATTGGGCATCATGTAATCTTGGATCGATCTCCTTCTCTCTGTCATTCTTTGCTCTCTCACTTCTTTTCTTTGTCTACGAACTGTCCTTTCAATTTATGGATCAAACAAATAAGCTGTAGAACACTTAGAACGAGTGAGCATACATCAAGAGTAATAAAAAAAATGAGAATAAAATAAATACGAAAATTATAAAAATATTAAAAGAAAATTCTAACAATGAACAAAACAAAATAAAACAAAACACAAATTGCTCAAATCAATTAAATTCAAGATTTTCTTAATATTGAAAAATCAACAATCCCCGGCAATGGCGCCAAAAACTTGTACAGTGAGCAAGTGTACCCATCGAGAAGTAATAAAGAGTTTTCAACTAAGTTTCCGAAATATCGTCTCAAAAGGATTGTTTATCAATTACTAAGAGTTTTCCTAATTTAATTGTTTGAGCTTATAAAATCAAAACAAGAATCTTATAAAATCAATTGTAAAAACTAAAAGCAAGAAACACAAAGCACATTTTGGTTGAACTTTATCAGAGAGGAACCTAGGATGTATGGGTGTTCTCATTCAATCATTTATGATATTTTTCTATTTAAATCTAAATCTGATTTCCTGGTAATTACTAATCATTCGTACTATTACTATTAATACCCAATGGTCATGCAGTATTAATATTCTTTTCTCTAAGTTAATATCCCCAATGGTCATGCATGTTATTAATTTGGAAAAAGCATAAGGAACCTATGAATTTGTTAATTCAATAACAATTAGAAGATGAAGATCGGTTTGGTCTACCTAATCTTTCGTCTCATTTTATCCTATAGATTTACTAATTATCCGAGGTACGATCGCCTGACGATGTAATTAATTAGGGTTAAAAATAAGAAACGATAAGATAAATTCTAATCACAAAGCGGAAATCATATTTAGATTCAAATATCAAAATCCCATAAAGTCATAAACGATAATTCTCATAGCCCTAACTATAGATTTAGCTACTCATGTATAAAGAAAGAACTAAAGCAATCAATAACATATCCATAATGAAGCAGTAAAGCAAACTAGAATAGGAGATGAATCTTCAATCTTCAAGTATGGTCACTTGAAGCTCTAAGTTCCGCCAAGGATGTGCCAACGATCCTACGAGAGAGGAGTAAATAATCCAAAATCCTCGAAGAAAAGGTTTTGTGTAATTCTCTGCTCAGCAAAAGGTCCCCTTCACGATGCTTTCTCCCCTCTATTTATAGAGTTTGAACTCCTTTGAACTTGGTAAATTTGGCTAACGGAAACAAGCACGACCGTGTATTATGATGCAGCACGGTCGTGCATATCATCGAAGCACCCTCGTGCTTCATTGGGCGTGCTTGTTGCTGTGAGGCTTTGAAGCCCATTCTTTTGGGCCTAAAATCTACTCGTGGTCTTTTTATATCAAACTGTGCAATTAACAACTAAATTAGTGTAAAACCCAATTCAAATAAATGTCAAATATGAATAATTAGGCTATAAAAGAGGGCCTAATTACAGACTTATCACTGGCCAACTTAGCTAACTTATCAGCTTGTTCATTCAGAGCTCTTGGTGTGTGCCGAACACATACTTCATCGAACTCGCTTTCTAACCGCTTAAATTCTGGATAATATTGCATCATGATTGGATCCTTTATCTAATACGTACCGTTAATCTGTTCAGCCATAACTTGGGAGTCGCTCCAACATGTGATTCGCCTAAACCCAATTTCCTTCGCAAGGCTGAGGCCGACAAGCAGTGTCTCGTATTCGAACTGATTATTGGATGCCTTAAATCCAAACCGTATAGACTGTTCAAGTACCACTGCGTTCGTTCCTTCTAAAGTAACTCCAACTCCACAGCCGCGAAGGTTTGATAACTATTCTACATGCAATTTCCACATCTTGGTAACAACTTACACCTGGTTGGTAAATTCATTGACAAAATCTGCAAGTACCTAAGCCTTAAGGGGTTTTCGGGTCTCAAAGCGGATATCAAATTGAGATAATTAGCTGCCCATGCCATTAGCTGACCTACTAATTCAGGTTTTCGTAAACAACTGGACAATCAATACGTACCACCATCTTATGACTTTGAAAATAATGCCTTAGTCGTCAAGCTGTGTGAACCAGTGCCAACACTGCTTTCTCCATTAATTGGTATTGGGTTTCAGCATCCTGTAACGTTCGGCTAATAAAATATATCGGGACTTGCTTAGGTTGTTCATGTAATAAGATCGAACTGACAGCCTTGTCTGATACAGCTAAATAGATAATCATATCCTGTCCTAGTCTCGGCTTTGTTAGGATGGGAGGAGTTGCTAACATGTTTTTGTACTGGATGAAAGCTATTTCACACTCGTTCGTCCATGCGAATTTTTGGGACTTTTTAAGAAGATCAATGAAAGGCTAGGATCTTTCCGCCATTACAGGCAAGAACCTAGCTAGTGCAGCTATTCGACCAGCTAACCGTTGTACTTCGTTCATATTACGAGGGCTAGTCATATCAATAATAGCTTGACACTTATCTGGATTTGCCTGAATTCCTCTTTTTGAAAGCATGAATCCTAAGAATTTTTCAACGGCTACCCCAAATGTGCATTTCTCAGGATTAAACCTCAACTCATGTCGTCTTGCTTCGGCGAATACTTCAGTTAAATGGACAATATGACTGTTAAGGGAGATGGATTTAACTACCATATCATCAACGTATACTTCCGTACACTTCTCTATTTGTCCTGCAAAAATCTTATCTATCAACCTTTGACATGTTACCCCCGCATTTTTCAGGTCGAAGGGCATAACTTTATAACAAAAGTTTGTTGAGTCTGTTATAAAGGTCGTCTTCTCTTCATTTGGAGGGTACATCCAAATCTAGTTATATCTAGAATATGCATCCAAAAAACTGAGTAATTTGTGCCCGATGACATCGACCAAGATGTCGATATTAGGGAAGGGATATGCATCCTTTGGACATGCTTTATTTAGATCAGTAAAATTCGTGCACATCCTCCACTTTGCACTTGCCTTTCTTACCATGATAACATTAGTCAGCCAAGTAGAGTATCGTACTTCTTGGATAAACCCGACTTGTAATGGTTTGTTGGTCTCTTCTCGAACTGCTCGTGCTTTGTTGCCTCCTATCTTCTTTTTCTGGGCGATCGGCTCGACCTCCTTATAAACCGATAGATGATGACATAGGAAATCGAGGTCTATACCTGGCATATCTGAGGCCGACCGTGCAAACAGGTTGGCATTGCTTAACAGCACCTTTTGAAGTGCTAGCTGGTTGTCTAAGGACAGGCCTATTCCGAGGTGTGTGATCTATTTGGTTTTTTTTTTTTTTTCTATTTGAAAGGGTTTCTTATCTTCACTGGGTTCAACCTGAAGCCTCTTATCTATCCTGGGGTCAAGTTCTACATCTAGTTCTACTCCTGTTCGGGGAGATATTGCGAAATAACATTCTCTGGCCAACTTCTGATCTACATGAACCGTGATAATTCTACCTCTATCGGAGGGGAATTTTATAGCCAAGTGAGGAGTAGATACTATGACCTTCAACTTGTTGAGGGACAATCAGCTGAACAATATATTATATAAGGTGCTCACATGTATCTCTAGGTAAGTTACCTTGATACTGCATCCTGCTCTAAATCGAACAGGATATCTAAATCTATACAGCCTCGGGTTTTCACTTGCTCTCCTGAAAATCCAACAAGTGGTTCATTGTACACCTTCAGTTCTTCTTCTGATATTTCCAACTGTTTTAATGTATTCTAATATAGGATGTCAGCCGAGCTTACTTGATCAATTAAGGTCTTACGGACAGTGTAGTTAAGAATATCAACACTTATAACTATGGGGTCATCCTGAACTGGGTCTACCCCCTAAAAATCCCTATTAGTAAACGTGATAGGAGGAATCCAGATCTCGCTTCCTAATGATATATGATTTACGGACTGAATATGTCTCAAATGTCTTTTCCTGGCCGAGTTAGTGGACCATCCTCTTGCTATGGTATTAATAATTCGGTGAGGGTATTTCTCGTGCTCATCATGATGCTTAATAGGTGGTTCTCTTGACCTAATACGTTGTCGTTCTACTCTTCTCTCAACATATCTCCTTGAAGGCTCAGATTGGTAATTCCTGCCCCTCTTGGTGTGTGACGAATCCCTACAGATGCCCAGCTTTAATCAAGCCCTCAATGCGGTATTTAAGGGTTGTACATTCCTTAATGGTATGTTCCCTGTTTCTGTGGTAATGGCATGATTTTGACTTGTTTGCCTGAGAGGAGGTATTTGCACACTTAGGGATGGTTAGTATCTCGGTTGTCAATGCTTGCTTGAGTACCCTTGTCCGATTAGTATTTAAAATAGTATAAGAGGTATACTTTGGTCCTCTTGGAGGTCGCTTAGCCCCACTTCTTCTGTCTTTTCTTTCTTGCATGTTCTTGTGTGTTCATTCCCATCAATGTCCCTCTGACTTGGTCCCTGTTTCATTCTTATGTGGTTACAAAACTCAGCAAGTTCCTCCATTTGCATATATTTAGTAGCTTGGCTTCTTAAGTCATCCAAATTAGCAAGTGGTTTCTTGCAAATGCTATTGACAAATGGTCCTGGTTTGAGGGTGGTTGTGAGATGGTGCATGACAACTAATGGTTCTAAGTTCCAATAGACAGGGCTACTTGCCCAAATCATTCCATGAAAGCCCAAAGAGTTTCCTTTTTCTCTTGCCTAATGTCAACTAGTGCTAATTATGTCAATTGATGAGACCGACTAGTAACAAATTATAGATTGAAGCGTGTGGTGAGTGTGGCCAAAAGGTATATAGACGCAAAGGGTAACTTGGTGAACCAATTGAGGGCTGGTCCCTGTAACAATGTTAGAAATATTTGGCATAACAAGTTATCATCATCGGTATATAGTCCCACCTGTGTGCTGAATATATCCTCATGTTCCTCGGGATCAGTGGTTCTGTCGCACTTTTCTAAAGTTATGCCCTTCCAGGTATCCGGTAACTTTGCTTCCATGATAGACTGGATAAAAGGGCTTCGGCCAATCATCCTTTCTCGTTCACCTGAAGTGTTAGTCCTTGTTAGCTGCTGAACTATTCTTAGTTTTTCTTGTAAGGCTTATGACTCGCCTTGTTCCTAAGCGGGCGATATATCTTGAGAGGGTAGATATGTCCTGATTTCACTCCTCAGATTAGCGTTTTTTCTCCTTAAAGCCGATAGCTCAAGAGCGTCTTTCTCTCTTAACCGTTGTATCTCCATCATTTCAGCCCTTAATTGTTTTACCACCGAAGAGAGGTTCTCATCCTCCCTTCTCAGCCAAAACCTCAGGTATAGGTTGATTAGGCATGGTCACTTCCTACTGATGAAAAACTCCCAATTGCTAACTCTGTCCTTCATGTTGGCTTCTTGTTAACACTATGATTGATTGAAGTTGAGGCGATTCGTGTCTCACGATGGGCGCCAAAATGTTCCCATTAAGGATACAATGATCTTCAATGATCTCTTCTTTTGTTCTGGCCTATAATGTTTTCATGGATATTCCAGATTCTTCTTATGTGGTGCAAGGAGGGTATCTACAAAAGGCACTCTGATGATAAAATCAGGTGTCAGTTTAGATAATAAATGTTCTTTTCTATTCAAAGTCAATCATTTTACTTGTACTTCTTCCTTTCTTTTTATAGACAATATATTGGATTAATGAGCTTTATGACTGAGTCCTGATTTTAGCTTTTTGATTAAACAAATAATTAATAATTATCTATTTTAATTGTTTTAATCATTCATTATTATTTATTTTAATCTGACTGAAAAAGTATTCAGATTTCTTTTTTCACCATAATGACCGAATAGTATCTTATCTAATACAATAAAGATAAAACTTTATAAATAACATATAATACATAATTAATAAAATATGTAGGCTATTATAAAAAAAAATCTAACAAGTGTCATTTAATATTTATATATGAAGATCATTTGACAAAATAAAAAGAAGAATGTTTAATCAAAATCGTTGAAAAATGTTGAGTTTGGATATGCATTATATGCCATAAAATTATGGCGGATGTCATGGCAGCTTGTGGCAAAAGCATGAGAGTCATTATAAAATAATATAATATATATTTACAAAAATATATATAAAAAAAAAAGTACTGCAGAATGTGACAAAACCAAAAAAATAATTACATATGTCAAAACCAAACAACCTAAAAGGAAAATAATAAAAATTAATTATCTAATACTCATCTTCAACCCATTCTTTTTCATCAACTAAGACATATCTCTCATCTTCTTCTCCCTCAAATTCTTAAAGATTAAACATTAAATGAAAGCATATGTCCCATGGCCCCGTGACCGCCATTTAACAACAGTGAGCAGAGTGTTTAAGGACTTCAAAAGCTAATTTTAAGCAAGAGCCAGAACATATTAAACTTTCCATCTCAACCGTCGTTACTTTAAATCCATAAATCAAGGGTTACTAAGTTCATGGTCCGCCGGTGCACCAAATTTTGAGATGCACCATGACCATTAAACATGAGCCCAACTTTCTTTTCCGGTTAAAAAGGAAGAACTATTTCCATTTTTCAAGCCACAACCCACAAATGCTTTCAAAGGGTACAAACAAGAAAACATTCTATTTAAAAGGTTTTAATAAAAAATAAACCTTTTTGTTCCCGATCCTCAAACAAAAATAAACCTTTTGACAGTAGCTATAAAACATTGAGACCTGTATCTAGCAATTAGCTGTGAGGAGTATGATGGAACAAAAAAAATTCCGATACAGAAAGTATCCAATTTACATGGGAAATAAGTTTCTATCATCATATATACTCACATCACGGTTAATCTGCTCTATTAGAACTAAGATTTGATAATTGATATATCAATTTCTTTCCTTCGCCTTGGACTCGGTTAATATGCCAAGGCAAATCAGTGAAGATTAGGTTGCTGTAGTTGGTAGAAGTGGGGAGCAGCCTCCAATAGCCATGAAGGATCTACGGTTATGACATTACGCATGTATTGTCGATCAGTTGAGACGAGAGAGCTGTAAATAACCCACTTTGGATTTACTCTGCAAAAGAACAAAATTTAAAATTTTTAACCGACTTTAGATGCAGAAATCATACGTCAAAGTATGCCAATGTGTTCCCCAAAAATAAATAAATAAATAAAAGAATTAAAATACAAACGGCATTTAGACATTCCAGGCTTTACAGTCTTCTAAAGCAGAATAATACCTGCTTGCGTTAGACTTTGGTAAAATTGTTTTCGATAGAATTAATTTAGAACATAATTAGAATAAATGCCTAAATTAATCTTAACAACCAATTTTACATTGGAATTTGTGTCAAAGTATGTAAAATTGATTTTGTTTGTAAACCAATCATGCATATAGTAGTAAAACCAGCACATAATACATAAAAGTTTCTCAAACACAGTTTTGACTAACCTGAATAGCACTGATGATGGGTGAATATAAACTTCTTGTGAGCCTCGTAACGTCTTATACATCCCATTATGACTGTATGCCTTTTAACAAGGAACAGAAACAAATAAAATTGAAGTCAAATCATTTACTTTACCACAAAATTTGTGGCAAAAAACATTGTAATATGCGTGAAAAATGAAAAATAAAAAGAATCTCACCTCTAAATGGCACGCATTAGCAAAAAAGCCAGTAGTAACTGCCTTTCTAACCACCTGGAAAAAGTACAACCTTTATATATAATTAAATCACCTTACTAATTAAAAACCAAGGAACTTGAAGTGAAAACATGTAGCAGGGTGAAAAACCAAAGAATGGGGCAGGACCAGTAAATAATAAAAATTACACTAGGGCAGATTTTTACCTAACACAACTATTTAGGCATATATAACAAAGAATAAATCAGGAGATAATTGAATGCAATTTTGAAAAAGCTTTTTCTAAACCAGTAGAAGTATGAGAAAAACCAACCTGCATATCACTTTCACAAGATTTTAAGACTAAGCCTATCCTCTGTGCAGTTCTTTTGAGTTGTTCTCTAACTTCAAGAACCTTTCTCTGAGAAATTTAAGCAGCCATGTCAACATGAATCAGTGAAAAGGACAAATTGAAATGCCTACATTGTGCAAAAATGCTGAACATATACATACCATGGCATGGTAATTTACATAGTTCTTGTGACACCACTGTGAAGATTTACCAGACTGAAGAAACCCCTTATATACATTAAGGAAGGTTACATGGTCACCCTGGAATTGTATAAAAAATCAAAAGAACAAATTTATGAATAAAAAAGATTTCAGTCATCACATTGCTAAAGAAAAATGATTGTATTACACAGTGGAAGAGTTGTTAAGTGAAGAATCATTGGAAGTTTAACACCGAAATAATGTAGAAGAAATTATGAGTATAAATAGAGAGTGAGACTGTGTGGGGCAACAAAAAAATTAAACTAGAGTACCTCAGCGGCAGCAAATCTCAACTTTGCTTCATCTGATTCCTTTTGTATCCCTCTCCCTGAGATCCAGATAGACTGTATACATAGATAATTTGAAATTAAGATATACTTCTCTATACATTACGCTTAAGTATATTTTTGTGTGGTCTTACAGATATATTTCATGTTATATTTTCAAACCTCAGCATGAAAATTGATGTCAACATACAGCAATTTATTGACTTTTGTTTCCAAAGCAATTAATCTTGACTAAAGCAAAAAACTTTACTTGGACAGAAAGAACAGCTGCAATTGTGATTATCTCCTCTGAACACCCAAGTTCACTAGAAGCTATTATCATTTTTGAGACCATTGGATCCTGCCAAGTATTACGTTCCATTAAATGGCCATTGGCAAATTTCTAAGAAATGCATCTGGACAGCTAATTTTGGAAAGGTAAGAAACGCAACTAAAAATGGGAAGACAAAACAAAAGCTCCTCAACAAGAGCATAATGGCAATATTTGTAATTGTAATATCAATTTAAGGAATACATTAACAAGAAAGCAAGAGTGGATTCTCATATGACCCTTTCAGTAGGTTTATTAATGAATCCACATCTGCATCTATACATAACAGAAAACATGAAGAAAAATGAACAGCTAAGAAAATACTTTAGAGCAAAGAAAACCATGCACTATATACTGGAACCAGATTCACTGCAGAACAAAGCCAAATAAATGATGTGGAAGGTCAGTTTACTTCTCAGGCTGGAAGAAATCTGGCAGATCTTAAGGAAATGACTGGATTCCTAATTTATCTTTTAAAGACAAAATTCCAAAATAAAGTTATAGAAATGCTTCCAAGTTCAAAATTTTCCATTCTTTACTTTCTCGTCTGCTATTCTTTATTTTATCTTCAACATGTCTCGTGCACTTAGGACTAACCCTGTAGCCATGGTGAATAAAACAAATCTCTATTTTTCACAAAATAAAGATGAAGCATCTAAGAAATGAATGAAAAAACATGATTTTGGTGGCAACGAAAATATACAAGTGGAATCTCAGCAACTTGAAATCCAGTTGGTGCAGTCAGCTTAGCATCATCATCCAAAACCCCAAGTGAGTAGAGAACTTCTAGTGCTCGGATCATTGCTTCAGGAGATGGAGATGCTGGCCAGTCAAAGCCCAAGATATTATCAATCCCCAAGGCCTTTAACTGGAAATCATCAAAAAAGGGATTGAATAACTAACTTTAGGATCAACCATTAACTTGATCTAGAATACACACACACACACTATTCCAGCAAGCAATAATCTGGTAATAGCACTCAAATGGAATGATATCAGAAAAGGTAAAGGTGACAATTGTATAATCCTTCTCATTACACACTAAACTACTACTACTATGATTTTTCTTTTGTCCTTATAAGGAGATATTTTATTCGAGAAAAGTAGTGCACGACTAGGGAGCAGAGGCTAAATAATGCAACACAGTTGCTCAATCTATTCCATATTACAAGTGGAAACCACCTCCTTAAAAATAACCATAACCATAGTAATAGTAACAGAGAGAAGTAATAAACATAATAATATCCCTAAACAAATGTAGAGGAATAGTGATATTTTGTGGTACTATGACTTCCTTTCAAAATTCTTTTATCTGAATGGCTTTGGCGCATAGGATTTCTATTATGAAGGTAAAAATATCTGACCAGGAAAAATAAGATCACATTGAATTCATTGCACAAAAAACTTAGTAAAATGAACTATCAAAAAACAGTGAAGTTACAAATACAACTTCACCTTTCTCTTTCTCCAGCTAATGTTTTAATTTAATTAAAAACTATCATATGGACAGCACATACACTGTTCAATTAATATTTATTAAGTTAATAAATTAAAAGAAATTAATGATTAATCAGAATAGTTATGATGCAGCTGATAATTAGTTGTCATTCATACTGATCATAAAAATATAATCTCAGTCAAAGTACCATGCCCAGAGAAAAAGAAAAAACCAATGATGGTACAAACCATGCTTAAAAAGCTTTTGTAGTTTTGTCACTTTCAAATTATTCAATAACAATTACTAACCTGGATTACACAGGAGACCAGATTTGACCTCTGTATCTCTGGAATTCCCTCATTAGACATGTGGTTAAGAAAATATTCTTCTGTATATAGCCTGGTTGCAGTCATGTACACAATGAATGACAAGACAGTTAACATCATTACAAAATACAAGTTACAATTTGAGATGTTGACAGGGAAACCGGAACACAAAACAGAATAGTAAAACCATACATAAACAAATGCATCACAAAAACACAATGAACAATATTACAATATGAAATTGAAGAAGCAACACTAACTTTGTGAACAGAATACTTAATAATAGACTATATCAGAAGCAGTAAGTCAATTAGATAAAGTAAATGATAGAGAATAAAAGCAGAGGCCTGATACACACACAACACTGCCAACTTTTTTATTAGGCATTGCTGTGAAAGTTTGCCTCTTTAATTCTCCCTAAATTTGTTAAAATGAACTAAGGGAAATACTCCAAAGTGGAGGGGGCATACTTGTTCTAAGCAGTGCAATTAAGTTCATACACAATAAGAAAAATTAAGGTAATATTTTAAAGAATGTTATTGTTTTTTGGTGAAGGTAAATATTTCCTTTTGTTGAAACTTGAAAGTATTAGCAGATTTTAGGGGGAAAAACCATATTTGATAAGTGAAAAATGTCCCTGAACCAGCTGAAAGAAAATAACTACTTTTAGTCAGACCTGTAACACTTTCCTGGTCGAACTCGTCCAGCCCTACCAGCTCTTTGTCTAGCAGAAGCCCTAGATATTGGTGCCACAACCAGATTTTCAATATCAGAAATCTGTAACAAAGGACCGCAGAAAATTAGACTTGGTGACATCAAAACATCTAAAGGAGAGAAAAAGAGTGGAAAAGAGATGACTTCTAAAAGATGAAGTTACTGACATGCCAGCAAAAACAAATAAAAATTTAGTGGATAAGTTCTAATAAGCTGAATAAAGAGAATACAGAAACACTGTTAATTTAAAATTCAATACTCAATAGTGTACCATAACTGGGAAACTGGCATCCTAATATACTGAAAATTTAAAAAACAACATAATGGAAATACCGGATTGTAGAACCGCTGTTTTGAGAATCCACTGTCCACAACATAGACTATTCCCTGCATGATTGAAAAAGTAAGAATGGATAAGGCCTTGTTGCCTATAACTATAGTCAGACTTATCTTTAAATAGAGGTTACCTCCAATGTTAATGATGTTTCAGCTATATTAGTAGAAATTACTATTTTCCTCTTTCCTCGAGGAGTTGGAGAAAACACTAACTCCTGAGAGAGAGTAAAGCACATATCACTACACTCAAAAATTTAAATAAATATTCAAACAATTTATTGACAATTAAATCCACAGAAGTATCTCCAACCTGTTCAGCACGTGGAAGTCCAGAATACAGAGGCAAAACAATCAATCCTGGAACAAAAGAAAATTCCATGCATTAGCAATATCTCATTGATAAGCATAACTATGTGCAAAATGTAAAATATGAAAGAACTTTCCATTATGTTCAAAAGGCAAAAATTCTATATACATTTTACTCATCTACTGTAAGTTGTCACTTGCCAGTAGTTAAAGACATCAATAGCTGACAGTCCAAATAAGAAGTGTTCAGAGTGTATACCTGAAGAGTGTTTTCCATTAGTTTGAATTTCATCAGTGAGTAATTGAACAGCAGCATCAATATCATCTTGACCAGTAAGGAACACTAGAACATCTCCTGTGGGCTCCTAAGGAGAGAGATAAGACCAAAACCACCATTTTCAATCCATTTTGTTTTAACTACTTAGATAAATCAGACTTTCTACTTCTATCAACAGCGTGATTTCTATTACAGTATATATCAAAATGAACACTCATATTTTGGTGTCCATGATCAAGCCTAATGCAAGCACCATACAAAACCTGTAATAATAGTATTATACTACACCAAATTAAATGCCTCAAAAATGGAATGCATTAGTTGAAGTTATCCTATCTCAATAGAAGGTAAAATACCCGCTCATTGATCAAGAGAACAGTTGAAACAGCAGCCTGAACATAGTCTTGGACAGGTTCCTCAGCATAATTAATTTGTACATTGAAGCCTCTGCCCTGAAAATCATAAATCATATTCTATTAGATTTCATATACTGAAAATTTTAACCTGGAAATGTGATGCCTCAATTAAAACATTTCCAAATTATATTGCAGTTTAGGTTCAGAAAAATGAGGGGCTTGTTTTGTTAAAAAATTAATATTAAATGGAAGAGAAGACATAAACCACAGCAAGGATATAGTATTCTCAAGCGCAGGAAAATTTAAAAGATTAAAAACAAAAGATAACTAAGGAAAAACCATAGTGATGCCTCAATTAAAACATTTCCAAATTATATTGCAGTTTAGGTTCAGAAAAATGAGGTGCTTGTTTCTTTAAAATTCAATATTAAATGGAAGAGAAGATATACACCACAGCAAGGATACAGTATTCTCAAGAGCAGGAAAAATAAAAGATTGAAAACAAAAGATAACTAAGGAAGCTAGGAATGCAGTAGCAGCCCAGTTCCTTTGCAGATCGGATACACTGTTAGAACAATCATTGGCTCAGAACTATCCAATTAACATTAAATAAGCATGTGTTTCACTTTAAACAAATGCACCTAGAAAACAGAAGACATACAAGCATGGGTTGTACTTCCAAAAATAGTACCTCAACTGATAAAATTGCAGGTTCCACTTGTAGCCCATGGTCCTCATTTTGAGGTTCTCTGCGCTTTTTTCTGTTAATAATAATAATGCACAAATTGATAAATAAGTGACAGCCTTAACATTGACAATCAAAATCTGAATACTCGACAAGAAAGCCCCCAAAAATTTTGAATAAGCCATTAATAATGTGGTGTATAACCTTTATACCAGCTCCAAACAGGTATAGTGAATTGGACATAATCCTAACGGTTATAACTAAGTACAACTAGTATAGAAATAGTCAGTTTGTCAGTGAATAACAGAAGAATTATACGACCAAATGAGAAAAGCAAGCAATTAAATTAACAAAGATAATACTAAACAGAAATACTGATGACTTTTGCCCATAATATAAAGAATACAGTAACAAACAAACTGGATTAAATATGATAATGCAGAGGTTATATTTTTTTTTTTTTCCATTGTGCTTCTGTGGGTGCAGGAGTGCAGCAGAGAGGACGAACATTGAAAGATGTCAGTTTAAAACTACCAGTCGGACAATAACCTAGCATCAGAAGGTTATTTCTATGAGAAAATATTCACATTGCAAACAATTAAATGCCAACAGATATAGGTTTGTGGATAAACATGTCCTTCACTGATGATGAATTTGGACTCTAATAAAGAAACCTTGGGTTTTGCAAGTTACTTTTTGTAGCTGTCTAAATATTATCTAGGTGAATCTTAATATCAGATATTTGCAGTTTAGGATATTTTCCTGATAAAATCTTGTGACATTTTCATGACGATAAGTTATATAAATAGAGCTTCTGCAGTGTTAATGTGCAAAAAAAAATAAAAAAAATAGCATGAACAATTGAATCATAGAAAGAGCAGAAGAAATTAGAAAACCTTGTTTGAAAAAAGTCAGACATCGATTTTGCTTCAATAGTAGCAGATGAGATAATCAACCGCAACTCTGGTCTACGCCGTTGAATCTAGAAAATTAGCAAAAGGAAAAACTAAAAGATTAAAAATTTTGAAAATAATGACAGCATTTTATTCCCATATATATGTATTGTCTAGCCATTAAAACCTTTTTCAATAGTCCAAGCAAAATGTCAGTTGAAATTGACCTTTCATGAGCCTCATCCACCATTATTACACTGCAACAAGTATATATGGTGTCAGGGTAAAAGGAGTTCAGAACAGGAAAATGGAGTGGCATCTCCTCCATAGAAACATATATATAGTCCTTGCCACTTCACACAGCCAAAATGTGTAAAATTCAATATATGGAACACTATTTGTATCACAATTTTAAAATTAGCATATGCATGGACAACACATAAAGTCTCCATAGTCATGACTCATGAACATTTGTTTTATATAAGAGCTAGACTAATTTCCACTGAAAAGCTCTGCTGCATAGCTATACAACTTTCAATTTTTTTTTAATTGAAAAAAAAAATAGTGGACGGAAGAAGAAAGGTTCTCCAATCCAAAGCTGCAAGCAACTTCATAATGGAGGCAAAAAATGCCGCTCACCTTCAAGTTTTAAAATAGAACATAACAAAACATGAGGATGCTAAACTGCTTGCATATCACCACAGTATCCATAGTTCATGCTCATCCAGGCACCTTGACGTCTAATTCACAATTTGTGTACACATAATATGCCATTTTATTAAGTATATAGGGAAAGTACATGTGTAAAATTTGAAGTTAGTAACAAGTACCTATATTTGGTCAAAAGAGGATCGTCCATCATCTCCCTCAGGAGCACTCCATCGGTTAAAAATTTTAGCACCGTTACATCCTGTGCTGCCGAAAAACAGAAAAATTGTCGTAAGCATCCGTCATTAACCAACCAACTTCCCTTTTCCACAATTTTTTTCTTGTCTGTGAATACGTGTGTGTGTGTGTGTGTGTGTGTAAATGTAAGATGCAGAACTGCCATAATTGTAGAGAGATGCTCACTGGTTTGGTAATATCTTCAAACCTAATGGTGTATCCAACTTCATCACCGAGATTCACTCCCATCTCTTCGGCAACTCTGGCAGCAACAGCCTATGAAAATCAAAGAGACGAGTTATGAGAGAGAATTCTGAATGATGACGAATCAAAATAACTGAACTAACCTGAACAGCTAGTCGTCTAGGTTGAGTGCAAGCAATGAGTCGACCACCGGTGGCCCAACCTGCCTCTTTCAGGTACTGCAGTTAAGTGCAATGCCAACTATTAGCAACGAGATTTTGAATTCGAATTCGAATTTGAATTTGCGAGGAGAATAATTATAAAGAACGTGACCTGAGGAATTTGAGTGGTCTTGCCACTTCCGGTCTCACCGACGATGATGGTGGTGGCATGAGTCTCGACGAGGTAGAGAATGGCGGTGCGGTACTTGTACACAGGCAATCGCTGGCGTTGTTTCTCGATGCTGGCGTAACCAAATCCAGAAGAAGAGGAAGAGTGAGAAGAAGACAAGAAGAGAACACCGCCTTCTTCATCATCCACCACCCGACCCTGTGGCCTCTCCGTCCCTGGTTTCCAGAACTGCGACATCCTTCCCCAACGCTAGAGGAGCCCCCACCCTTCCGAAATTCTCCTCTTGGATCATCTTGCTCCATTGAGCCCAATTATAGTTGGCCCAAACCCACACCTTTTAACTTATTATATAAAAAAGAAATTGTATTTTGTGGTATTGTTTTTTAACAATTTTTTTAAAATATTTTTTTAAAATAATTTTTTTTGTAAAAATATTGCTGATACATCATACTGTCATTTTTAGTATACCTATGTTATTTTTTATTAAAAAATTATTTATTAATTTTATATGAAAAAGTCGTACCATCAAAATGGTTATTTGTTTGAATATATATATATATATATATATATATATATATATATATTATATCACATGAATTAGCTTAATTTTAAGTAAAAAAAGTTTGTTGTGCTTTCTAAAATGTTATCTCAATAAAATTAATCATAACTTAATTTAAATGTAAATGAAAATATTTTAGATTATGACTTATGTTAAGGAATTTTTATAAAAGTTATATGAGATAAAAATGTTGTATTTTTGCAAAAGATTATTATTTATAATGAGAATACACCAAAATTCTCAGCTCTGAATAAATTTTATTTTATTTTTTATATTCTGAATAAAGTTTTTTGAATGTTTAAAACTCATAAATTTTAACTCGATCAAATATTCGATCGTCTCAGAAATTGAATAATATTATTTTATGATTTGTAATACACCAACCATCTAATATGATATCATAAAGAAAAACTATTATGGTGCTTAGACATCTCTTTCAATCCTGCGTTCTAAATCTTTTTTCAACTTTCATAATAATATTATTGAACCAATAAAAGAAAAAACGTATATAATACTTACTTAATTCACTTAATCCAATTTTTAATAGACTTCAGTATTCATCTGAGTTTTTAATAACTTGATCTTGTCTAAATTCTTCAACCCTTTTTAGCCGTCAACTTTGATGTTCAATGAGAATTTTACAGTTTAATTTTTACGTCGTGAAAATTTTCAGTCTTTAGTCTCTAGGTACCATGATAAAGTCCATGGAGAAAAAATCTTTACGTGTTTCTTGTTCTTGCACATAAGTCCCACGTAACACACAAAGTCAATTATTTATAATCGGTTCCTCCATCCACGATATAAGGATACGTGCTTTCAAAATTGAGGCAGGAATTATAACACTGTTTATCTTGATCATAGTCACGGTACGTCGGCCAATATAAATTTTCATAACAAAATTTCCATACAGCTTCAAATCTATGCCCTCTTTAGATGAACTTTTAGAAAAAAAATTTAAAATAAATAAATTTTCTTTCATACATTAAAAATATCTTATTTACTTTAATTTTAGAAAAGTTAAATAAGAGTTTATCATAGAAAAAAATAAATAAATATCATTAATTTTTATAAAAAAAATTCTAAAAATGTATTCAAATTGGACAAATGTTATATACTCAATTTCCTACGCGTATGCGAAATCTGACATCCTGTTTTTGTCTGGTGTGTCGACTGGGATGAAGGCCATACTGTAGTTTGGGGTCAACTTGTCTGGTTATCTTCTTGTGGTGGGTCTAAAACTTTTTTTTGGAGTATACTAATGATATGATCAAAGTGTGTTTTGTCTCTCGAAATTGTCTTTTTTACAGGGGCAATTAGGAGTTGAATTCTTATTAACATATTTAAAGGACATAGTTATCTACTAACTGTCCTTGGTTTTATTCATATCATAGGTCCCAACTTAGTTCCAATAAAAAAAAAATTAAATCTATTGAGTCTCTAAATATTACAGATTAATTGAAAATAAATGCAAGTTAAATATAAAACAAAACTTTTCAGGCCAGCAGCAGTCACAAATTGATAATGTAAAGATTTTTTTACATTTCATTCAATTATAAATTTCTATATAATTAAAAAATAAATACTTTAAAAATTATATCTAAAATGATTTATCATTTATTAATAATATAAAAATATTTACACCAATAATGTATTACAGTTAAACTTTTTCATCAAAATTAAAATTACAAACTCTCATATTTTAAAAAATTTAAAACATATTTAAGCCTCAAAATTATTGTTTATAATATGCAAAGTAGTTGTAAAGGGTTGTTTGATTCAGTGTATGATGACCAATACGTATATTGGGGAGTGTCTTGATCAGTAGTAATAAGCAGAAGTTGCTGACTGACACATACTTATTTTCATTTATACCATTAATACGTGTTATATTTTGTAGCACAAGCTTCTAGTATATTAAACGAAAGTTGAACACCAACATGTCTTGCTAAAGATCTCCTTAAACATAAGATGTGAAGCTTTAGGAAATCACAACCATGAATACTTATTGGGAGTTTTCTCTTATGAACTTGTGGACATGGATGCTCTGTCTGAGTAGTTGGTGTATCTGCCGTGTTGGACAGTTCAAAATCAAGAATTGTTGAGCATCACATAAAAGTCGTCCATCCAAATTTGTCAACCTAATACCGCAGCAGTTACTTTCGACACATTGCTCCAAAGCCTATGCTTCAAAACCATAAGTTAAGCTGCACACTTCTCGACAAAAGGAATTGTTGCATAGAATTTTTTTAATAGAAAAAACAAAGAAAACCTTATCTTTTATATTAGAGTGTTAATTAAGACTCACCACAAGTTTTTATGAAATTTAGAAGAATAGCACTACACTTAAGTCATATGTATGTGTGCACCATTCAATTAAATATAAATATTATTTAGATTTAAGAATCGTTTGAATATGAAACTTATTTAAATACTCATTAAATATTTTTTTTATACAGTAACTTATCTCATAAATTTAACAAGAAAATTTATTGAAATAAATTGAAAACAATTTTTGTATATGTTATGTCAATAAATTTATTGAAATAAGTTGATCTTTCCAAATAAGTCCTTAAATGATAGTTTATCTAACTCAAATATTCCTGGATTACATAGACATTTTTCTTTCTCTAGTTGGAGACCGGCTATCTTTTCTTTCCTCTAAATTTATTGACTAATATGTGTGAAAACGAACAAGTTTCTTAATAAAATGAGTTTGGGTGTAAGTCTTATAAGCTGAACGTAGAATTTTATCTGTCCCTCCTATGTTTTGATTTGAAGCTCTCACTAATCGCTACCCCACAACAAAAATTGATGTCTGACCAAAGGTTCTCAGTTATTCTCACATGTGACTGCACTTGTTATCTCACAATTGCTTTCCCGCAAGTTCAAACTACAAGAATATACCTTCCCTCATTTTTGTGACAAGAGTTGACCGTCCGTGTTGCCACTCACTAATCACCTTCTGATTCCCAACTGTCCAAAGATTCAAGCTTAAGTATGGATTTAAAATCTTCACAATTGACCAAAGATTCAAGTTTCACGTCCCCACCAGAATCCTTGGCCTTAATTTCTCTTTCAATTGCCTTCTTTTTCCTCGAAAGTTTATTCATGTGACATATAATAAGTGAACTCAAATTTTCCAGCAAAGGCTAATACTAATAGGTTATATGATCAAAACATATTGAAGCAAAATGCATTTCCTTTCAACTATTCCTCAAGCACTAGCAATGATTTGGCTCTTCTTCTATTTACACATCTCTCCTGTTCTCATTAGTGGCTACCCAAATGAAGCTACAAACACAGACAATAAAGTTATATCCATTGGAGCAATCATTGATGTTGATTCTCGCATTGGGAAAGAACAGCAAGTTGCCATGGATATTGCAACTCAACGTTACAACAGCACTTCAAAGACCTACAAATTGGCTCTCTATTTTCAGAACTCCACCAAGGATCCCCTCAGAGCCAGAACTCTTGGTTAGTATATCTAGCATTTGCTAACAAAAAAATTTCAAGTTTGCATGCCTTGTGTAATGTGTAAATTGGAAATGTAAGAGTAAGAGTATAACAACCTTTCTTGCAGCTGAAGAGATGATTAATATGCAGAAGGTGCAAGTGATTATAGGGATGCACACATGGCCAGAAGCAGCTCTAGTTGCTGAAATAGGAAGCCGAGCTCAAGTTCCTACCATAGCATTTGTAGAACCTGCCATTACCCCACGATTGATGAAAGTTAGATGGCCTTTTTTGGTGAGACTGGCTAACAGTGTTGCAGCATATATAGAATGCATTGCAGGTATAGTGCAAACTTATGGTTGGCAAAGAGTAGTTGCCATATATGAAGATGATGCATACGGGGGAGATTATGGCATGCTAGCACTGCTATCTGAGGCCCTTCAGGATATGGGTTCAATGATTGATTACCACTTAGCACTTCCACCTATTTCTTCTCTACATGATCCAGGAGAGTTTGTACATGAAGAGCTACTGAAGCTAATGCAAACACAATCTCGGGTGTTCATTGTGCTGCAATCTTCATTAGAAATGGTGATTCATTTGTTTAAAGAAGCCTCAAAATTGGGACTTGTGGACAGAGAATCAGCATGGATAATCCCAGAGAGCATAACTAATTTGCTAGAGTCTGTCAATAAGTCTGTTATTTCCTATATGGAAGGAGCTTTAGGAATCAAGACCTACTACTCTGAAAGAAGCACCGAGTATCAACATTTTGAGGCGCAGTTCCGAAGAACTTTTAGGCTCAAGAATGCCGAGGAAGATCACCGCTACCCAGGATTTTACGCTTTGCAAGCATATGATAGCATTAGCATTGTCACTCAAGCATTAGACAGAATGAGCAGTAAACACAAAAGTAGTCTTCCAAATACTTTACTAGGTGAAATATGCTCTAGCAGTTTCCTTGGTTTAAGTGGCCAAATTCAATTTGAAGCTGGGCAACTCTATCAGAATCCTATCTTAAGGATAGTAAATGTGGTTGGGAAGAGTTACAAGGAATTATGCTTTTGGACTCGACAACATGGGTTCACCACAAACCTCCCTACAGGACAGGGTCGGAAAAATGTTGCTGCCAATACAAAATGTTTGAGTGGTGTACATTGGCCTGGGAGTTTGCAGCAGGATCCAAAGGGTTGGAATATGCCTACTAAAAAAAATCCATTGAAAATTGCCGTCCGAAGCAGAACCTCATTTTCCAAGTTTGTCAAGGTTGATTATGATCAAAAGCAAAATTCTGCAAAGTATACTGGATTCTGCATTGATATTTTTCAGAGTGTTGTTAACCTTTTAGGGTATGACTTGCCTTATCAGTATTATCCTATCAGCGGAACCTATAATGATTTGGTTCAGCTAGTCAATAACAAGGTATCAAATCTCTTTCTTGTTCTTTTCACCCACTCCAATAGGCAGCTTAACGTTATTTTATCATCTTTAGTTTTCTTATATTACTTTGAAGTGAAATACCTATCATTTGGTGAAATAAGATATTGCTCTCTATTTGATCATCCCCCCTTTCAATTCAAGACTTGGTTGGTTGATACTTGTTAGTATAACAACAGCTAGCCCTTTCAGTGACAATGTCTTCATAGAGAAGCCATATTATGTATGACAATGTTCACTTATAGCTGTTGGAATCAAGTGTGAATAAAGGAAAAAGTCCCATATAGGATGGAACATGGACCAAATAGAGGTCTATAAAGAGAAAGACCCATGCACCCATTGCCTTAAGGTTTGGGTTGCATTGTGGTGTCCTACACTTGTAGGCTCCCCTCTCTCAACAATAGCTAGCTATCAGGAAGATCTCTCTAATTTTATACTAATAATTGATTTGGACATTTTTTCCCCATTGTCTTGTGATTAAATAATGATGGAAGACTCATGATGCTGTTGTTGGGGACATGACCATACTAGAGGAAAGATTGCAGTATGTGGATTTTACTGTGCCATATGCAGAATCTGGATTGTCAATGATTGTTCCAGCGAAGTCTGAAGAGTCAGCATGGATGTTCACAAAGCCTTTTACCTGGGAATTGTGGGTGGTTACAGGTGCCATTTTGATTTACACAATGCTAGTAGTTTGGTATCTTGAAAGAGAATCCAATCCTGAGTTTCACGGCAATTGGAAGAGCCAGATCAGCACAGCTCTTTGGTTTACCTTCTCCTCTCTTTTCTTCGCTCATAGTGAGTATCTATCTCAAAATTCCTAGCAGTTTTTATTTTAAATAAAATTATGCAAACCCGTTAAAGAAATTCCTGAATGGAAAATGTGAATTAAACTTCAAGTAATGATTTTCACCATGCAGGGGAAAAAATGCATAGCAACTTAACTCGCGTGGTGATGGTCTCATGGCTTTTTCTGGTTCTGATTCTCAACTCCAGCTACACTGCTAGTCTTTCTTCAATGCTCACAGTCAAACAACTGCAACCAAATATCACAGACATTCAGTGGTTGAAGAGGAATAACATGAAAATTGGGTGTGATGGTGACTCATTCGTTAGGTTGTTCCTAGAAAAAGTAGAAAAGTTCAAGCCTGAGAACATCATAAACGTTAATGATGAATACAAGTATGTTGATGCATTCGAAAATAACACAATAGCAGCTGCCTTTCTTGAACTCCCATATGAGAAAGTATTCATTAGTGAATACTGCAACAGATACACTGGTTCCACTCCCAGAACAAGATTTGGAGGACTGGGCTTTGTAAGTGATAATATAATTTGGCATATTAATGCCCTTCTTCCTTTACCAAAATATAGAGGAATAATGGAACATATTATGAATGGAAAAAGCACATCTAAAGTGAGTTTTGTTTTTAAAGTGAACAAATAAGGGTTTATTTATCTTTGATGTTTAGAAGGTTATGATCAGGATACAGTTTAAATTAAATTGAGGGTGGATGCACTCTTGGTTTCTTACTTTATATATAAGTTCACCTAATAAAGACTTGATCATTCTATATCTTCTTTTACTAGATAATAAAATAATGTTTGGATTGACGGAGATAGACATAATGATGGGGATAAACATAATGGAGTGGAATGAAACTAATTTTCATTGCTTGGATTGTTTAAAACAGGAAGAATGAAATGGAACCTGATGAAATGCATTATATTCCAAAGTTCCTCCATATAATATTCATCAGGGAACAGTTTTTTTTTTTTTTTTTAATTTCATTCCATAAAAAAAAACAAAAGAATAATAATTTTATTTCATTTCATTCCATTCTACCCATCATTCGATATATCTAAAGCTCTGGCCATAAGTTAAATAAATTCAAATCCAATATGTGTTTGCAGAGTTTTTCTTATTTATTTGGGCTATGATTTTCTATTTGAAAAATGTTAGGAAATTGGACTTCGTTTCCATTAGATTTTTTGACAAACAGGTTCACATTCATATCTAGGATGGATGAATTTTAAATAGCTACCTTTGTAACCATTTAACTCAGTCAAAATTTAGAGTAAATTTTTATGGATATATAGTATTACTCTTTCACTTGTGACAAAGAATTTTCAAATAATTTATCGCAGATGTTCCAAAAAGGCTCACCAGTGACCAGAGACGTGTCAAAAGCTATATTACATCTCTCAGAAAATGCAGAATTGAAAAGATTGGAAGAAAAATGGTTGATTACCTCACATGACTGTTCCAACAACATGAACTCCAACAATACAGAAAGTTTGAATCTCAAAAGCTTATGGATTCTCTATGTCATCTCTGGTGCCACTTCCACTATTTGTCTGCTACTTCCAACCATCCAATGTCTATTATCCAATAAGCAATGTCAAGAAATAGCACCAGAAGGCTATGCCGCTACCAGTGTTTGGAAGGTGATAACACATGCGAAGAATATTTGTAGGAAAAAGCTCAATAATTCAAGTGAGACACAGGTTGTAACTGATTGTTCTTCGAGATCGGATCATGCGAGTATGACTGATTCCCCTGAGTATCAGTTGGATATGGCTTCTTCGGTACCTGCAATTTTAATGCTCTCTTCTCCACCACCAGAGGTACAGTTGACAACACATGATTTAGGAATCACTCACACTTCCAAGTAGTTCCAGTATAAGACACACTTGTCAAGTTTTATACACGTGTTATAAATCAATCTTTAGAAAGTGTTATTTTTCCTTTTTTATATATATATATATATATATATATATATATATATTGAGAATGTAAAAACTTGTTACATAATTATATTCATGATATATTCTAATTAATTAATAGTGTAAAAATGTTTGCATTAGAATTTTTTATAGAAAAAATATTAAAAAATAAATATATACACAGATAAACTCAATCCTAATATATTTATCCAACTAGACATATTTCCTATAGGTTTAGAATTTCTGTTCTTAGGGATCAAATTTTAACCTGTGTTTTGTCTAAATAACCAAATTTTTTCTGTCGAAATTTAATTTTTCGGTCAAGATTTTTTTTTTTCATTTTAAAATTTAGTTTTTTATTTTTATATAATAAAATAATTTTTATGTATTTTTTTATAATAATATATTTATATATTGTGAAATTTAATAAATATTTATAAATATTTAGTTAATTTTAAATAATAAAATAAATTTTATTATTTGAATTATATTTATATTTTTATATTATGTGAAAATGAATATTTATATTATGTTAATTTGTGTGAAATAATAAAGAATATTATGTTGATATATTTTATTGAATATGTAAATTTGTGTTATGAATTTTTAATATTAATATGATAATATTATTTTGAATAAGTATTTGATTTTAAAAACATAAAATTTGTATATAAAGTGAATAAAAATAATGAATAATATTTTGTTTAATGTTTATTAAAATATATAATTAATTAATTTTTAAAATTACTAGTTATAATATTTGGATATAAAATTTGTTATTAACATTAATAAAATGAATAAAGAATATGATGTAGATATATATATATATATATATATATATATATATATAAAAGAAATCATAATTCATTAAATATTTAATAAAAAATAACACTTAACACAATATTGATAACAACATTCATTAGTGATTTTTACTGTCACTATCTTTACAATGATGTCCAGTTTCACAACGAGAGCGACGTTTGTTACGTGCTAGATTTCATTGTTACGACGTTATCATTGTTAATTAAGATAATATGTAAAACAAAATAAAACAAGAAAAAAATTAAAATTTTAGTTATGAAGATTTACCTGATTAGCCTGAATGTGGTCAAACATTGATCTGTACCCTAAAACCTCATTGTGAGGTTTATTCCGGAAGTTGAAGACTCTACCCCCGCTCCATCTACACATCAGAGGGTACGTTGGTGGATTACTAGAAATTGGTGCAATATATGGCATACAATACCATGTCTAGGACATTAACAGTGATGCACAACTACCCATTGTTTTTCTCCTGACTTCCGTGATCTTGCACATTTTCCTGTACAACATAGCTAAACAAGCAGACCCCCAACTATATCTTCTAATTCTTCTAAGATTAGTTAATAAAGTTAAATACATAAGATGAACTTTGTTGACTTTTTTGTCAGGCATCAAAACACCTCCAATCAAACCTAATATATATGCTCTAACATGGACATGAACTTGCTCTTCAGATGGTTCATCTGGTAATGGCAACATGTTGTCACTCAACCACTTCAGTTTCACCATAGAACCAATAAGTGTCTCTCCCTTGACTAACACAATGCTGAGATATGTGTCTCACACGTCCCCCAGTCAAACATTGTTGGACCAATGACTGGTAATCCATCAACTCTTAGCCTGAGTTGAAGTGCAACATCCTCCAAGGTTATGTTGCACTTCCCAGTTGAAAAATAGAATGTGTGAGTTTCAGGTTTCCACCTCTCGACTAAAGTAGTCACTAGCGCTTGATCCACTTTAAGATGTCTTAGCTTTGCAACTCCAGCAAAACCAAGCTGTTCAAGAATAGGAATAATTATGGGATTGGCTTCTGGCATTGAATGACAAAAAAATGAGATCATGTTTTCAATTTCCTGCAGTTATTAACAACAAAACCAGAAACCTGCCAATTTACTCTATGGTCATGGCAACATACACCTGTTGCAACAAGTTCTTCATTGAGAGAGGTAAGGAAGTAGATGCAATGATTAATACTGAACATGTATACTCGGAGGTTGTAACTAAAGCAATTCAAGATGCACAATCAAAGGCAAACACTCATAGAGTCATCACTTTTGACAAAACAAGCACTAGATTTTTAGTCGAAGAAATGTAACATTCAAGACAAGTTCGACCTGTAAGGAGATTTACAGTACGATTATATGAAATGTGGTGTGATTGTGGCAAGTTTCAAAAAGTTTACATCTCATGCTCGCATGTACTTGCTCATGCTTACACACACACCACAACTTTGACATCTACATATCTTATGTGTATACCTTACAACAAGTTTCTAAGGTATACGAAGGTCAGTTTGGAGAACTCAGATATGAAGACTATTGACCAACTTACACTGGCCCAACTTTGTGTCCAAATCCAGAACTGAAAAGAACTTCAAATGGTCGACTCAAGTCCAACAGGATAAAAACAGAAATGGACATTAGAGAATAACAAAATTGTGTAAAAAATTGTTCCTATTGTCATATCCCTAGTCACACAAAGAAGACATGTCCAAACATTGGTCATGCATATAGTTATCACCATTGATTTCTTTTATTGTAACGGATTATAAAGAAAAAGAAAAATCTAACTTGAGAGGACATTACATTAATATATGTCATAGTTTTACTTCCCACACTACCACTCCTTCAATCACTTTTGCATATTAATATTAAAAATTTTCACGTTACACTTAAAATAAAATACTTATTCAAAATAATATTATTATATTAATATTCAAAATTCATAACACATATTTACATATTCAAAAAAATATATACCCTTATATTCTTTATTATTTTTATTCAGTTGATATACAAATTTTATTTTTTTAAAATCAAATACTTATTCAAAATAATATTATCATATTAATATTAAAAATTCATAACACAAATTTACATATTCAATAAAATATATCAACACAATATTCTTTATTATTTTACATAATATAAATATATAAATATTATTTCACACAAATTAACGTAATATAAATATTCATTTTCACATAATATAAAAATATAAATATAATTCAAATAATAAAACTTGTTTTATTATTTAAAATTAACATAATATTTATAAATATTTATTAAAAACTTCACAATATATAAATATATAAACATAAAAAAAATACATAAAATTATTTTATTATATAAAAACTAAAAACCAAATATTAAAACAAAAAAAAAAAACCTGACTGAAATTCAGTTCCAAAAAATTTGGCTATTTAGACAAAACACAGGTTAGGATTCAGTCTCTAGGGACACGAATTCTGAACTTATACAGGAAACAGTTCTAGTTAAGTAAATATATTGAGACTGGGTCTATCTATGTATATTTATTCTTTTAATATTTTTCTATAAAAAAATCGTTTGCACTAATAGTGTATTAAAAAAAATATAAAATGTTATAATTTTTGTTGAAAAAGAGAAAGTGAGAGAATATGTAAATGAATTTGTATGTTTCAACTTCACAACACATTATATCTTTATTTTATAATAACAAAAATTACATAATAGTTAGTTACTTATAACATAATTACAAAAATAAATTTGTTTTATTAGTATAATTACATATATGTAACACTCACTAAGTTGGAGTATATAAGTTATATACATAAAGTTTGTTCATATATATAATTAATACAAAGACCTCTCAATAATTTGGTAAAAATATTTATTAATAGATAATTCAAAATTGATAAAGCTAACAATGTCAAATAAGATTTTCTCAATTTATCTCAATATACTTTATTTTACTTTTTTTTTGTGAAATATTATATTTGAGACAATATATAAAGATGTCCAATGGAATGTCATATTCACAGTCTCTCAAAATATTAGTTCTTTAAGGAGTTATTTTCATCAAATAAATTTACGTGTACCTATGGTTATGATTAGATATTTTGTTTCTTTATACTTGAATGAGCAACTATATTTTGATAAATTACTCTTCCAAAAAATTAAATTGTCACCAATAAGTAGCAATAGTTAGGAGTGGATCTCCTATAGATAGGGGAGTCTACTTGATCTGCATCAAAATAATAATTCGAATGTGACCCTTATTGGTGGGTGTCAAATCTAACAAATTTGATCCTACTTTTTAAGAGATTTATAAATTGTAATAAGTAGGTCAAATTCATAGGGATTGGTAAAATTTACTTCTTTGGCAAAAGTGAAAAAGGAGTTTTTGTAGGAACTGAATCGAAATAAAAAAAATAAGTAAATAAAAGAGTAAGAGAATTAATAAATAAATGTCTAGCCCAAGGATTGATTCTCTCTTGATAAATTAGTTATAACTATTAACAAACTCTAGCAACCAAATTCTAGTTTCTTTCTTGATAACCAAAGTAAACTCTTTAATTATTTTCCTTATCAATAAATAAACCTTGAAGCATTTTACAAATTTAATCTATTAATGGCATTAAGATTCATATAAATCCAATCTAGCCAATAAACTCACAAGTTAGGTTCATTTAGACTACATTATATGCTCACATAACAATAGAGCAAATACTTTATGTTGAACCTTACTATTTTACTACTAATTATTGAAACTAGTGTGTAAAAATTAATTACTGGGCAAGTGTACCTGTTATCAGAGTAATATTATGAAAAATAGAGTACCACGTATCGTATCCACAAGGACTGTTATTAAGAATTACTTCCTTAATTGCGCAATTGTTAATGAATATAAGAAATAAATTTTGTTGATAAAATTGCTAAAAATAGAAGAATAATAACTTAAAAGAAACAGATTTCTTATGAAAATAAATTATAGAAAAGTATGACTAAAGGTATTTAAGGAAAATGGGCGAGTATCTAGACTGTAAATCATCCTAAGTGGCCAAATAACTGAAATTCTCCTTCAACTAATTAGTTCTAAACCCTTATCGCTGCAGGAAATTCTGAATTAAACCAATACATTTCTCA